AAAAGGTACATTGACCCTTCCACAAAGTAGGCCACCACCGCGATCTTTGCCGCGTCGTAGTGCAGGAGCTGATGCAGCACGAAGGACCCCACCGCCAGCGACTTGCCGATGCCGGGCGTTCCAACCACAACAAAGGTCTGCCTCAAGAACGTGCTGCCAGCAGCGGTGGGCCAGCCGTCGATATCCTGCTTGAGGACGTTCCACACACGCTGCACCTCCTTGCGCACAAATACGTCCTTGAAAGCCACTGCAAACCCTCTGTACGGCCACCCTTTCTCAGAGGTGAGCACCAGAAACTCCAGCCGCACACCACTGGCCTCTTCCTCAACCTCTTCCTCCTCAATCTTCGCGATCGCGTCGATATCACCTGGATGAGGTATGAAATTCACCTCACCCGCACTCCACGCTGTGCGCGGCTCGCTGGAGTTGGCCTCCACCACCCTCATCCCCAACGGCTCCTCAGCGTGGCCCGACTCCACGTAGCTCCACCTCGCCTCGTACACCGACCGGTACATCCTCTCTTCCCAAGGCAGTTTCTCCAACTCCTCCCGCCTCTGCCTCGCTTCCTCCTCCACCGCCACTGCAAGGGCTGCATCGAGCTTCGTCCGTCCAACAGGAGAAATAATATTCTTCTGCGCAAATTCCCTCCAGCGCTGAAGAGTGTTCACATCGTGCTCCGCAAGCCTGCGTGCATCTCCAATTGCCTCCTTTATGGCCGTGTAGGACGGCGACGCCAGTATCAGGCGCAGATCATCCTCATTTGCGACAAATGCCTCGGGTTGCGCAACAAAATTCTCAATAGAGACATTCTCGTTGGCCTCCACGACTCCCCTGCCGCCCAATGTATTGCGGAGGAAATCGTTCAATTTAATGTCACGAATTGGCCCTTCTCCCTCCAGCAGTACTTCCTCCACCGTGCTGGTGAGGGTCCACGTTGGCCTCTGCTGTGCTTCTCCCACCCTTCTGCGCTGTGCTGCGGGCTGTTGATCAGAACCGCCGCTGTCGGGTCCCGACCTCGACCGACGCTGCCCCTGTGGTACTGCATTCGCGGAGCTCTCCGCAGCAGCGTGAGCTTCTTCCTCGCGCCCCCCAGACATTATTTTCCTTTGCTTTTTCCTTCGTTAGTTGTTGTTGGCTTGGGCCGCAGCCGAACAGCAACCACCAGCCAAAAGGGGAATGCGAAAGGGAGAAAAAAAATGCAAAAAAAAAACTAGGCACACAGACACGACCCCACGCAGGCAGGCGAAAGACACAACAGGCACACACTAGGCCAAAAGCAAAAAGTAGCCGGCGGAGCGGCGCTTCCGAAGGGACGCGGCCACCCCGCAAGGAAAGAGAGGGTGAGCCACACCGTCCACTCTCCCTCCCTCCCATTCCCTTCTCTTCCTGCAGCGGCAATTCGCACAGCCGCACACTGTGCCGCCGTCGCCATGTGCATATTGGCGCCGCTGCAGTGCCCCAACGGTGCATTGCTGCCTGCCTGTGTGTATGTGTATATTGCTCTGCGCACCCGCAGCAACAGTGGGAGGGCAAAGGGCGTGCCAGCACGCACAAGCACACACACACGAGAGGGGTTTGGCGGACGTGCTTCGGGTGCGGCACAGGCGCCCAGACAGCAGGGAGGCGGAACCAACGCAGCAAACAGAGAACGAAAGAGAAACCAAAGAAACAATTATGGGCCCAAAGCGAAATAAAATGTAAAAACGAAATTTCGGAAGTTTGTTTCTTCATCGACTGCGTGGATATGTTTATTGTCCGTTCCAAAAGAAGAAAGAAACGATTGCCCGGTCGTCACACAAGCACAGACACACAAACACCACATTTGCACCTCACGATAGCCGCGGTCTCGTGCCTCAATTCTGTGATCCGCACAGCCATGCAACCGGCACCGCGTGTGTGTTTGTGTGTGCGACAGCAGCAAACAGGAGGGGAAACTCGTCAGCCGTGAACTGTGTATAGAAGGCAACCAGAGGGGAAGGAAAGTAAAAAAGAAAAAGAAAGAAAAGAGAGGAGGATTGTCCCACAGGGAGGACAAGCAAAATGAACGCGCAAGGCGTACGAAACTTCCCCACCAGGGTGCGGTTGCTTCTCACCACTGCCGAACGGCGCAGGCAAGACAAGCCGCAAGCAGCAGCAGCAACAAAGGCGCACGCACAAACAGGGCGTTGGTGGCAGTGCCGTCCGCAGAATTTGCCACGGCTTTCCCAGTGGCGCTGCCGTGCTCAGTCGTCGCTGGACGCTCCGCACCGTCTCCCTCTTGTTCTCTGCCTTTTGCCGCAATCGTTTGCCCCGTGGCACCGCCAACGCCGCCTCCTCCTGCGCCGCGCTGGGCTTCCACCTGCAGCGGCTTCGCGGCTTTGCCCTCCGTCTCCTCAGCGCCAGCTTCGCCCGTCTTCCGCTGCGCCGCCCTTTTCAGGTGCCCCGTCAACCGCGTCGACAATTCCTGGACAGACCCTTTCGAACTCTTCCGCATCAACGCTGCCGGGGTGACAAAAGCCCCTGCGCTTTTCCCGCACGCGGCGCAGCGCAAGCTTGCGGCGAGTTTGGTTTACGTGCTCTTCCTACTCGCTGCCAGGCCGCTAGCCTCCTGCGCCAGGCAGACTGCCGCCTCTTTCTTTTTTTCTTCATTTCGAACCCGTTCCAGCCCGAAACTCTCACCCTCTTCCTCTTCCGCCTGAAGCAATGCCGTCTGCTGCCGGCGGGTGGCGCCCCAGCAGCTGCGTCACAGCTGGCGCTGGAGCCCCTGCAGCTGCACACGCTGGCGCCGCAACGCACCCGGAGGCAACACGCGTCCCGCGACGGAGGGCCCCGGCGCATTCGCATACGCGCAGGGCAGCGCCGACGCACGCTCCTCCAATGGACGCCCCCACGCGGCACACGCAGGGGCCGACCCGACCCCCCGCAAAATGGCCCCGGAGGAACTTTGGGGCCCCGCGGCGCTGTGAATATATATATATATAACCTGCAACCCCGCAACGTGGCCAACGCCGCTAGTGTGACCCTGATGAAAATGCACGACAACAACAGTTTGCTCCCCTCGTCCAGAGCGAGGATGCCACCCACACGGCAACTACTCATACGGCGGCAACGGTGCCGGAAGGAAAATCAAACAAAAAACAAACGCCGCCGCTGGGCCGTTACGCCGCACCCGAGACGCCGGTGCCCTGATGCCGGTCATCCACTCCGCATCCGAACACACATGATGGCTGTGAGCTGGAGAGCATGCTTGCTTTCTTTTTTTCTACTGCTGTTAAACCCACTCAGCCTGAAAAAGCAGACCTTCCATCGCCCAAACCCTCCCTCCCTACACACAGCAGTAAACTAAGAAAGAGGATATTATTTATGAAGTATTGTTGGCACACACCCACAAACTGCAATCATTTCTGAGGCAAGCTCTTACACAAAAAAGAAGAATGCTACTGGGATATCACTGGCCATAATGATTCTGTGGCGCAC